TTTCTTATATTTTATCCCAACAATTGCACTGCATAACTCCATCAGATCCAGGCAGGAAATTATAAAGTCCTTTTCCACATTTTCAAAACTTGCTTTCCAAAGCTTGTTTTAAAAAAGTTTAACTGTGACATACTACTCCATTTCTTACAGGACATCGTGAAAGTTAGTCGTACCTTTAGGCTCTTCTCAGGAGAGAATATTCCTTGTGAAAACCAATTTTGCCCTTGACATCCTCACTGTGCTCAGATGTTTTGAAAGCCGTAATTGCAGGGGTCATGTGCACCTTGTTATCTGCTCAGAAATGTGCAGATCTTTTTCCCTGTTTCTTCTTTTCCGGGATTTTGCTTTCTGTCTCTCATGCATTTTACTTGCTCTGATAGCAAACAGATTTTCTGGGTTTTGGGGTTTCTTTTGGGTGGTGGTTTTTGTGTGTGTGTTGGTGGTTTTTTTGTTGTTGTTTTTGTTGGTTTTTTTAATGGCCAGCTTGTGCCAGTCTATCATTTTAACTTGTTTATCCTGCATTTTGGGATACAATCCAACTATCCTACTCAAGACTGACAACTTAAGCTTTTAAAGAAAACACTAATGTACTCAGAGGTGGGTGAGCCTCATTTACATCCTGTTTCAAAACACCTCATGAAGCCAGCTGAATTCAAATCTGGCAGTACGTGTTTCTTATCTGCTGCCTCTGGAGCTCATCTACTATAGTTTAGCACATGGATAATGAATATTCATCCCTCTTGCCCTGTACACTGAATTTTATGATTTGGCAGGAATTTATGAATGCTGTGTTTATTGATGAAAAAAATTCTTCCTCAGTATTTAAAATGCATTTTCACTCCTTCAGAATCTGGCTACCAAAAGGTAGTATAAGGGGAAAAACTCAGATGGATGGTCTTCAATGACACTGAATATTAAAAGAGTAGCAAAGTTTGAATCTGTAAGTCATATGGCTTCATTTCAACTGACTGAATACAATCTGAAATCCCAGGAAATACAAAATGGTGACTTAAAACCTTTATTTTTGACGAATCTGTTTTCCACTGAGTTCCTTAAATACCCTGATTCTAATCTCCAAAACTGAAGTCATGACCCAAACTTAAACTATAAACAGTTTAAGCAGCTGCCTGGATGCTCTGATAACCAGTTTGTTTTCATCACTAACTGTCAGGGCTGGAAAACTGTCTCCTCTCCAGTGTGTGCTATTGTTAAAAGCACAAGGATAGAATTCACACACTCTTTGCAAAACCTATTCTCACAGGCAGGGAGGAGATAGGAGGGAAGGTCAAAGAATGTAATTACGCAAAAAGACCTGGCAAATTAACTGCTCATCTAGAGGGAACTAAGCAAACGTTGAAGGAGCACTTCATTTACAAGTACGAGATAGCTCAATGTCCTTGCTGTTTAATCAAATATTTTACAAACTGGAAATTCCAATCAGTAAAAGTACAGCAGAGTGTGAAAGCAGAAGCACAACTGCTTAACAATTTTTTATATTGGCAGCATTCAAAGTAGATGGATCAATTCTGCAGTCCCTCAAGTGTGGCTTAAAGGGAAGGCAAATTTCCCATCCAAGCTTCTCTAATTTGGTTTTAACTTCCTGCTTCCTCGAATCACAACAGATTGAGTAGGTTCAGAAGTGACTTGGCACATTTCTAGGTCTGTCCTGTGCTTATAACAGGACTGTGCTGGACATAGTCCTTAAGGCTTGAACTCCCGTTTTCTGCTGCAATGTTTTGCTCTGCAGACATTTACAGGGAGGTGGAAAAGGATACTGAGCAAACGAGGTAATAGCCTTTTTTTAGTTGCTTTTCTGCCCGTGCTGAGTGCCTAGGGCAATAAGCACTGCCAGATCGACATTTTGGTGAGGAGTTCCTTCAGTACACTCAGAAAAAGTCTAAGCGATCAGGAAAAAGGAATAGGCAGTTTTATTTGTCACTTGAATATTGCTATTCGTATGACAAATTTAAAATCAGTATTTTTCTTCAAGGGATAGGGTTAAATAACATACGTTTTCACCAAACAAAATAAAATAATGTATAAAGGGGAGGATGAAGAGATTGTACTTGAAGAAGCAGCTTTGAAATATATGAAAATTACTTGGCTTCATGGCACTCATTCAAAGACTGTTTTAGTCAACAGAAGTAGTCTGTTACTGAAGTAAACTTGTTATCAATAGTAATTAACCAGTTTCCACTGAATTTGGAATATGACACAAATGTGGTATGATCAGTTGGAATGAGTGCTTTTTAAGCTTGCAGAAAATAACACAAACCTGTCATTCTGCAGTGCAGGCTATTTAGAGTTCCAGCAATTGTGATGCTCTGACTAGTTTGCATTACTAGTGTTGCATTACTCATACATTCATATATTTTAATTACTCTATAAATGAACCTCTTATGTAATTATTGCAGTTGACCAGTGGGTTGGGCAAAGTGACTTCTAGAGGTTTCGTCCAACACAAATTATTCTGTACTTCTGTTGCTTGTAGACAGCCACTTGCATGCTTATTGTTTTTCACGTGTTCACTGACAAAAGTCCTAACAAACCTGCTTTTTCTAGCTCAACAACAACCATAGAACTCTTCAAAGAGACTATCCCTGCGCTATGTGTGTGTGTCAGTTACAGAACTGTGCCACTTTGACTTCACTATGCTGTCCTGTATCGTATTTTTAATATATTCTATCTCAACACTACCATTAAGCACTGCCTCTTGTGATAGGTTTCTGGGTCTTTTGGCATTGTGAGTGTGCAGTAGAGGCTTTGGTTGTTGACTGCAGGGCCATCTATGGCCAACACCCAAGACAGCATGGTTAGAAGGCAAATGAGTAACAGGTGTCTTTAGAAAAAGAGATACCTCTCTCTTAAGGGAGTGCAAGGACACTCTTCTCCTAGGAATGGAATCTGTTGTATTGGGATCTGGTTTATCAGGACTACAGCAGGTGAACCAACAGCTTCTTGCAACTCCTTCCCCCCCCCCACTCTCTTCCCCCAGACACACAAGATTCCAGAAACTCTTTTATGGAAACTTTTTTTTTTTGGAAATTTAGAGACAGAGTATCTTTAACGAAAACATGTTACTGAAAAGTGTTCTGCTTGCTTCAAAGGTCATGTTTCCACTAGAACGCAAAGTTTAATTTAAGGCTAATAGTACAGTTTATTCCTGCCTTTGTTAGAATTTACTGTCATTAAGATTATTTGTATTGTTTATTCTGAAATTATTTTCTTAGAAGGCTAAATGTAGATACTAATTTACTGGTTTTATCACTATGTAAATAATTAGGTACTTCAGACAATAAAACACAGTGAACTGACCATACCTGATCTGCTGCCATAAGAAACCACTGAAATATAAAACATTTCTATAAATTGCAGATAGAAGTTATCTGACATTTTCATTAAGCAGCTTTCTTATGAAACCAAAATAAGAACCAGCCTTCCAAGGATCATTAAAAAGAAATAATGTGCCCTTCAAAACATTAAGAAATGAGAAAAACTCACCTTCATAATAATAGTAGTAGTAATGATGTGGGAATAGTGGAGCTGTCTTCAACTCTCTGCACTCTGATAAAAGGTATAGCACAGAGAATTACTGTAGGAAAGCTAACTGCTCTCTTTAAAGATACTCCAATTATTTTACATACAATAGAAGCAGGTATTTAAAAAATAATACGCATTTACTGCATATGCATTATTAGACGGACCAAAGGCACAAACAGCTCGATGGGGGAGAGGAGGGAAGAGTCCAGACCAGCTGTTTAGCCCTTGGCTGGGAGAAAGGCTGGATTTCATAAACTTGTTGAACCAGTCCTGAGGCGAAGGGCACCACTGGGAGGACGTGTGAGTTTGGGTCAAGAAAACAGCAGATTCACAAGTGGAGCACCATCCATGACTGACAGCTTTGTGTAATAGTATGGGGACTTGAACACCTGAGCTCTGTATAGTGAGTTTTGAGCTCCCCTGGACCAGTAAAGTAAAACATGGAAGCGTGGGCCTCAGGGTATAAATCAGTTCTTAACGCACACAAGAAAGGCTTTCAGCTTTTGATATGAACTGATACAATTTCTGGTCTTGTCATACCCCAGAACAACAACGAAGGTGTGGATGATATAAATCAGAAAGATCTCAGAGACAATTCACAGAAAATCAAGAACTCACAAAAGAAAAAAGCTGTACATACTAATCAGGTATGGGTTTCTGTGTGTGGTTTTTTTTTTTCTTTTTTTCTTTTGAACAACCTTATGTAAATTCATAAACCTCAAATTCAATGTCAGTAATTGGCTGTAATAATACACTCAAGACAGATATTTTAACAGAACTTGGATTTGATTTAAAAGTCAAAAACTGACAGGGGAGCGAGATCTATTCTGAGAAATACATTAAGAGAAAAAAAAAAACCCAAACCCACAGAAAACTGTCAGGACATATAGGATTCAAAAAAATGTCTTCTAATGTCATAATGGCTTCATGCAAGATACAAAAGAGGCATCAGAAATGGTGATCAGAAGGAATGCTATGGATGAGGAGTTGATAGAGAAGGATTTTCTCTGTCAAATGGTGTGGATGGCTTGGGAAAGTTCACAGCCACGGTCTAACCACTGGGTTTGTCTGATACGATCACAGTGTTGGTGGCAGACAGGACAGCTGGCATGCACTCAGTATAGACAGGAAGGTCTTGAGACTGCTTCAGCCACCTGCCAGCAGAGATCTGTTTTTTCGCACCTTGCTTACCAAGCATGCGCTCCTCTCACAGCCTTGTCACCTGCTCTGTTTTTCAGGAGGATGAACACACCAATATTGAGAGTGATCTCCGTGAAAACAAACGTGACACAGTAGATGATGAGCAACCACGCTTGAAAGGGTAATGTCTTTTGTATGAGTAAGTTTTCCACTGGCCTAAGCAATAAGCTGCCAGTGTTTCTGCTTCTGGATTGACAGCTCTAAATTTCACTGGCATAACCCTATGCTACACAGACCTTTGTATTGCCTAGCAATTTGTGTAATACAGAAACATACTGTATTTAAAATAGTTATATCTTTCGACTGACCTGTGTGATGTGGCACTATGCTTCTCAAGCCTTGCAAATTAAAGGAGCAATAGTTTCTTTTTGCACATTAACTACTTTTCCAATATTTCTGTAAAAGCCTCTTGTAAATAGAGGTCTTAAACAGGGATCTTTTTCAGGAAGTTAAAGATTCACTATTGTCCTTCAGTTTGAATAGCTATTTACCCAGGTGAAAATGACTAGGATAGCTGTAAAAAAAGCCATTTTGATGGAGCAGAATTTTTGCACTTTGTTAGCACTGGTGCCAAGTGGTCACACTACAAGAAGTACACATCTACATTTTACTTGAGAATTAGTTTTTTTGGGTGAAAACTACAAACCCTGTATATGACATTAAAAAAATTAAGATACGATACTTAAAATCATATTTTAATATCTTAATATTTTTCTGTTACATTGAATCTTCATAAAAGCCTGCATATAAATCCTACTGTATTTTTTCCACTGATTTCTATGACTGCATTCTGTTATACAGCACACCATTTCAGCTTTGAAAGTGTCTTTCTATCAGTACGTTCTACCAACTCACTGTATATCTCAAATAAGGGTTTGTGTCACTCAAACTGGACTACTTGGAAAGATCTCATGCCTATATAAATGTTACGCATGTATACAGAAGTAGTTGTGAAGATTTTAATTATCCTTTTGAGTTGTACATACAGAACTTAAACACTTCTTAATATGACCAGGTTTACCAATGCCGTCATATTAAAAAAACTGCTTCGAAAATCTAGCGGGTGTGTTTAAAAGTCAGGTAAATGTTCTCTCGTTTCTCCTCTCTGTTCTTTGGAGATATGTCATTGTTTTAGCAGTATATAAAATGAAACACTTCATTGCTTGAAACATTTAGGGTCCTGTCTAACAAAAACAAAAGCTGAGATTTGATAGATATTCTATCTATTTTATATCTGGAAGTTTGATAAGACTCTCCTGTGGCAGGTATCCAGCTTTAGCCCGTAGTGAGCTAATTGCACTGGCAAGTCTTGTCACGCAAATGGCTGTGCAAGGTTAGCAGGGTCTCTCCCCTCTCAAACCTGGGTCCACAGGAGTCACTCGCTAAGAGACCTCTCTGCACAGAGATAGGTTGAGTTGGGGCACAGATGAAGCCTGCGTGGTTTTTATTAATTCTTATTTATTTGTACTCCTATGGAGAGCTGAGGGATAAATAAGGTTTAATTCACAAGCCTTTCTGTTCCCGAAGTCCCCTTGTTCTTCCATCAGCAGCAGGTACCAGGACCTCCGGTAGTGAAAGCTCCTCATAGGCTGGAATCTGAAGAGCACTTTGCTCTATTCTGATTACATTCAGGCTACGGCTTGTTCTGTGCTTTCCAGTTTTTCTCTTGGTTTTGTACTTTGCCTAGGTTTTATTTTTATGTTGAGTACCTCACAAGGGCAATGGTATCTCTACCAAATTATTTTTTTTTAAATTAGCTCCTAAAAGCAGGCACTAATGTGATCTAATGTATTCCTTGCATCTACTCAAAAGGGACATTCACAAAGCATGCCTTAATTTGGAATGCGTCATCAATTTCCTTCAACAGATAGTCTGAATACCCTGTAGTCTGAGACACAATCCCTTTGAAAGATCAGGCTGTGGATAACAAGGATTCTCTACATGTGCAGCGTGTTAACATTCGCTTGTAGGGTATGTGCAGACTATAAGAAGGATTTCTGAGTTGCAAAAATGCAAGCACAAATACTTTGGCATATACAGGTATTTCACATTGAGGTTCTCCTTTAAATATGCTTAAGTGATACCATCTTTTTCAATATCTTTGGTTAAGTAAGAGCCATCAGCAACGTGTTGAACCTTAAGCTTATAGGATCAGCTTTTAGAAAACAATATTTCCATAGAAGATTAACCAGATTTCATAAGCAAAACGTTCCTTCTGCCACCTTTCAGAACAGAGCTGCATACAGATGTATATGCCTAAACATTTAGGATATTCTGGTACCAAACTGATAATCACCTACGTTAATAAAATAACAAGGCAGAGGGAGATATAAGAGCAAAGAAGAGATTACAAGGAATTGTAATCACGAAATAACGATTTTAAATCCCATAGGACTCATAAGTAGCAGTAACAGATAGTAGATAATTTTTTTTTTTGATTGATGGATGAACCATGAATTTTATAAAGTAACTTATTAATGCATCTGTCTCTCATTTCTCCTTTTCTTTCTTTTCCTGTTGTATCTAACCTATCTGCTGAGATTGGGTAAATAACCTAATGTTCTATCAAGTAGGGGAAAAAAAAAAAAGGAGCTATGATTTGTGAAGCAACAGGAATTCCCAGAACTAAAACTAAAGTATCCAAAGCAATCAAGATTTCTGAGACACCCTGTTACTCATTGTACCGGTGAGGGAGTATGTTCCTGCTCTGTTGTTGTCAATACTGATGTGAATTAAGTTAATATTTTTTTTTTTTAAGTGCATAAAAGAAGGGCATTCATGCTGAATTTCGTCTTGCATCTGACTCTAGCTGCATCTAGTTTCCAAACAAGCAGTCTGTACAATTACCATCTCTAAGTAAAATGTTGCCTTTATAGACAGTAGGATTTGAGGCACTACTTTAGAGACACAACCATGTCTGTGTTTTCTTCTTCAGCTTGCATAATACAAGGGTTTTTAGCTACAGCTTTTGTAACTGAAATACTTCCACGTCACCAGCACACTTAATACTGGAAATCTGTGTTGGATTAGCTCCCTTAACTGCTATTTCCCTATATTTCAGCCCCCTTCATGAAATCCCTCAGTGTTACAATTAGTGAGATGAGAAACTAATGAAAAAGTGAAGTATGTAATAATTGGAAGAACATATACTAGAATAAGGCATTCAAACTCAATAAATCCTTTTGGCTTCCGTGGACAGATGAGTCTTAGATGGAAAGTTAATGTAACTGACAACCGAATTTTCAAATAATGGAACCATAGAATCATTTAGACTAGAAAAGACCTTTAAGATCAAGTCCACCACTAAACCATGTCCCAGTTGGTGATGGTCACTCAACCACTTCCCTGGGCAGCCCATTTCCAATGCCTGACAACTGTTTTGGTGAAGAAATTTTTCCTAATATCCAGCTTATAAACCTTTCCTTGGCAAAACATGGGGCTGTTTCCACGTCTCCTGTTACCTGGGACAAGGGACTGACATCCACCTCTCTGCAATCTCATTTCAGGAGATTACCCAGAATATCAAGAAACAGCTGAGGACCGTAATAAAGTTTTAGATGAATATTGGTTAATTTGCAAAAACAAATGCAGCCTTAGGCCTTCACAACTACAGCAACACAACTGCTCCTCACAGGAATGCTGGTCTGACTGTATTAACAGTCTTTGTGGGTCTAGTAATGGACACTACCTCTTTAACCACCAGTTTGCACTAACCCTGTTAACAGACTTCCTCACAGGAGAGGTATACTTCAGAGGCTAGCAGAACTGGCTTGCTACCTTCTGCTCATTGGATAGCGGATGGACTGGCCTGTTAAGATATCTGCCAGATTTTCTTGGTTACTTGTCCAATATCAATGCAACGAAGTCCACTGCAAAAGCTTTGAATCGTAGAACCATAGAATGGCTTGGGTTGGAAGGGACCTTAAAGACCATCTAGTTCCAACCCCCCTGCCATGGGCAGGGACACCTTCCACTAGACCAGGTTGCTCAAAGCCTCATCCAGCCTGGCCTTTGCAGACATCGCCATGATTTTCTTTGGTACTTTGGGATCCAAATTTATGCCTTACTAAGTGCAGCATACTCCAGTGAGGAAATTAGGATGAAATTATCCTGATCTTCCAGTATAACTGACTCTTTTTATCTACGGCTTAATTTTCTGTTCTGTTTGTTTTTTGCATTTTTCTAGGCATTTAGAAAAGAAATATGATAAAGCCTGTGACTTTTGCAAGAAGCATAAAACCAGAATTCACTATGTGGCCTATGGAATTTTAATAACAGGTACAGTACATTACACCCAGGGTTGCTGAAGTCTTGTTTATTTACTTATATGAGATTATAGTCTGTGCCTGTTTTCTGTCTGACACAAAAAAACTCTTGACTGTCTTTAAGAATTTATTTGAAAGGAAGTAAAAGTAAATTTAGTCCCAGAGAAAGCTCCAGGTTGCAAAACCTCTACACTTTCCCAAACATAACAGAAGCATAGATCTGGCTACACTGCTTGTCCAGCGTGTTTCAGCTCTGACTAGCAGTTGTATTTAGGACAAAATGTAATCCAGTCTTTCTGTCTACTCTATTACCACCACCACCCCCAAGAAACCTGTTAGAAAGAAAGTTTACCCATGTCACTCAAAATTCACAGCAAATGTTTGCAGAAGAAACGTGTTTCATGTCAGCATGCACTGGAAAGTCATTCCATTTCTTGTCCCCTTCCTAATTATCCAGTAGGTTGGTTTGTTTCCTTCCACCTCACCAAGTTTCTCTTTGAGAGTCTTCTACCTGAACACTGAGAACACATAGATCTAAAATGTGTGTGTGATAGGCAGCAGCGTACCGTAAAGTGGTTATGGAAGGGCTGCTTGCACTCTGAATATCCTGCCCTCCTAGCATCAGCTCGTCTTGCTTTGTCATAGCAGAGACATATCCTGGCTCAAAAAAGCAACTAACTTCTTAGGATATGTCAGGGTTGCATACATTAATTCTGTAAAAACAACTTGTCTTACAAAAAACAGTAGTTCTTTCTTATTTGCCATAGACAAAATCAGACTATTAGTTAAAAGAACTGAATGTTTTATTGGCCAACATGTATTAGCAATGAACCTGCCAAATGACAAATCATTTCACAGCTGCTTTTCAAAACAAACTAGTTCTAAGCTTCCCAATTACTTGACGGGGCCATCAAATCAGGCAATTGACAGATGTTTCCAAGTGTTTTTGACTAGTTTTATTGGAAAAGCTCATCCTCCTGTGAAAGAAGGAACAAGACCCATTGTTCTTAATTCACAGTTTTTACACAGGAAAAAGTGGGTTTGTAAATGTGTTTAATTTTCCCAAGTGTTAAATATGTTTGATAGTAGCTTGGCTTGGCCAAAGCATATAACCTGCTTTGGCAGGATGAAAGCCACCTTTCATATCAAGGAGCATATTGTTTGTAGCAACACTATCTGTGAACGCAAAGTTTTTTAGTATTCAGGCTAAGAGTCAGAAAAACACAAAATATAAACACAGGTCTGACTTAAACCAATTCCTTCACATTTAAGATTTGATTCTGTGTTTTAAAAATATCAAGCTAACTGACATATTCTTGTTTCTGTGACAGCATACTTGGCAGTAGTAATTGCAGCCTGCAGCTTGAATTTCCAGAGAGCCTTGCCCCTCTTTGTCATCACTGTCCTAGCCATCTTCTTCATCTGCTGGGATTTTTTAATAGCTAAGTATGAAAACAGAATTGCTGCATTTTTTGCCCCCGGAGAAAGGTGCCTGGAGAAACAGTGGTTTTGGCTGAAATGGTAAATATGAACTACTTCCTGTTTGTGCTGAAGGACAAAGCATTAGTCAATTTAATCCTCTAGTTTCATTTCACCTTACACCCCCCTAAGCACAGGGACATGGATCAATCACAAAAATTGCAATAAGATCAAAACATAAATACAAAGTATTTCCATCATTTCTGGTTTATAGATGTCAGGCACACTTTTAAGATTGCAATACAGTAGCTAGGTATCAAAAATCTTGACACAAAGTGTAAAAAAAAAAAAAAAAAAAAATCCCTCCAATAAAGATTGTGCAAGTCTGTGGTTGCAAGAGAGTATGTCCACAGAAGTTCAGGTGTGTTGTAGCCTTCTGCATTCATTCTGCAAGCCAGAAAGTGCCTCACTGTCGCTTGTTCAGAGACCTGTGAGATTCATAAAAACCATAGCTCTAACATACACAGACAGCTAAAGACTGAAGTATGTTATCTAGACAATACTTGTTCACACAGCAATTTTTACTTCACTTTTAGGAATCAAAACATGCCAACCACATTTGGTGTCATAATAAGATCGTACAATGTTATTTGGGATGGTAAACATTCACCTGGTAGATAAATGGTTGATACTTAGAACTGGTAGATAGTTGTTCCAAGTCTTCCCCAGCAGCTATCAGGAATATTTCAGTTATTCCTGGGGAAATAAGGAGCCAACAGAGGCACGTAGACTAATGAAAATTCAATTGAAATCTCACTAAAAAGGAAAAGGAAATTGGCCAGCTGCCCTCTATCTCAGCCTTTATTTGAGAGAGCAAGAGCTCTAGGAAGGAGTCATTCTGTGTTCAGGAAAATGTCCCAACTTATTCCTAAGAATTTGAAAAAGTTTTGCCACAGGAGCAGGAATTTCTAAGAGAGATGCAGTCAAGATTTTGGTCCTTCTGCTCGGGAGCCACATTAGAGAGCAGTCACACACAGACACCTCCATTAGACAATCTGACAGTCTGTTTGGGGAAGGAGTAAACAAAACAGGAGAGCCCTGGTGAGCAGATGGAACAAGCCACGGGCAGCAAGTGCTGTATTATCTGGGCTGTAGTCCTTAAATTGTACACATCACAGATCAAATACTTAATTTATAGATTCCTGCAAGAAACAGGAAGTCTCTCAAGTGTAGACAGTTGCAATATTGCATTGCAATATTTTTGATCCAGGTCAAAAAAACAAATTTAAGTATCTAGGCACCACTGAAATCAGTGGAACTTGAACAGCTGTAGACACAAGTAACATCAAAGAACTGGGACTATATTTAGTTTTCCCCTCTGTAAATGGGATGACGTATTTCCTTTGCCTCTCAGGCTTTTGTTGTGATAATTACCTTCAAAATACAAGCTGCACACGGTTCTGTGATAGCGAGGAGCACAGAAACACTGAGCACAGATGTACACATGGTTCTTGTAATTGTTTCTGAGTTAGCTAAAATTGTGGTGATTAAAAGTTACTTTTGTAAACAGACTATAGCTGGTTACAAAGAAGTAAATGGTTTATAACCTGCTTTTCAATACTGTGTGTTTCATAGGCCTAGCAGTTAAACAGCACAACATAATTCATAAAACACAAAATCTGTCTTGTCCAGACCTAAGAAAACATTCAGTAAAGACGACAGGAAAGGAAAAGGGGGATGGAGTGAGAAAGGAGAGTATCTACTCCTGCTTATTTTAATAGAAATAACACCCAGACAAGAGTCACTCATGCTTTATTGGGTTTCCCTCACACTATGACCTTGGGGACATGGTTGGAAGATATTTTTTTCTGGATGTCACCAAAGGTTGTTGTTGGCAGAGTTGCATCAGCAAATTCAGGTTCCTGCTTACCTACAGGTAGGTACACGTTTCAGTTTAATACATTGCTCAGAGAATTCATTCACAGAGAGAGATGTAAATGCTGTGGGGAGGGGAAGAAATATCTGGTCTTCTTCAGGATGTCCTGTCACTTCTGTTTTCCCTAGGGTGTTGTTTGCAGCTCTTATTATAGCTGTAGTCTGCTGGCTCACCTTCGACACAGCAAAACAGGGAACCCGCCAGCTGATCTCCTTTGGTGGTCTTGTGATGTACGTTCTCTTGATGTTTGTATTTTCCAAATATCCAACCAGGGTGAGTGTTGAGTCCATATTGAATCTTTTGGGTGTGGGTTTTGGGTTTGTTTTTTTTTTTTCAGTATCTTAAAAGCTATTCCCCTACCCTAGCACTAACTTCAGTAAGAGTAACAGAAAACCCACGAATGTAAAAATTTACATTTGCCAAAACCCAGTGATGGAAAGTCATTTTGTTCTGACATCTTGGAGCATGTGTAGGGTTGTCCCAGCACCTGTCTCTCACTGTTTTGGGAGGCCACTGCCCATCCTTTGTTCCAGCCCTAATGCAGCTTGGAACATATCAGCTCCTGGAGCATCAGTGCAAGCTGAGGCAGCCCTGCTCCATGCTTTCCACCCACAGGAGTCTCACTGCAGTCCTCAGGACATTGCAGGCACTTATGTGATGAAATTGTCATCACATCAACACAAACCACATGGAACTGGAGACATGCTTCCGTCATGTAGCTCTTAATCTCTCACAAGTTTGTTTCCCACTGCTGAGGCCAAGCTGAGGTCCTCACTTTCACTAAGTCACTCCCATACGCCTTCAATACCATTTATTTTAATTTTCTAGCTGAGATGTCCATTCTACACTGCTGTGATATTATGATGGGCTTACCTCAGCCACCCCAACTCCCACCTCAGCTTTTACCCCTGGGTGCATGCCTAGCACACAGTGTATGCTTTCATCAGTCCTATATTAATCCATTGTCCAGGCCACCATGTTTCACCAACAATTTTTCAACACTTTTTCAGCATCAGTGTTGAGACTTTCTTAATAAAAAATGATCCCCTCAGCAGGGACTAATGGACCTGCCGCTCCCCATGCTGTGCAACTGCTGCTCTCTCCAACTGAGGTGAAAACTCGCGTACTCCAAATGCTTTGTGGTCTCCCACAGGTCCTCATTACACCTAATTGGCTTGTGTTATTCAAATATCATCTGAATAAATTAGAGAGTGCCATCTCAGCTCCTTGCCTTGTAAATAATCAGATTCAGTTTTCGCAAAACAAAGATGTTTTCTGAGGCAGTAAAGAAGAAATCTGCAATGTAGTGAAGAGGAACTGGTTACAGGCAGCCACAGTTTTTCCTACAACTGCCTTTGTCATATGAATCACAATATTTAACTGTGAGTAGTTCGCAGATATCAAAGCTATTTAAAACTGGGGAACAGAAACAGGGTTGAAATTACCCAACCCCACAAAAAAAAAAAAAAAGAGAAAAATCTCCCAGTCCAGATATGTGAAGAATCTGCATGTTCAGTTGCTGCATTTTTTAATGTTTCCATTCCTTTAAAAAAAATTAAAAAATAAAAAATAATAAAGTCTGTGGCCCTCATGTATGTCTATTCCATCTATAAACTATCGCACTGGAAGAACTGTCCCTCCTTTTCCAACTACCTGATTACTTGCAGTCTGTAATGGTGAAACAGGCATGTCCGTATTTACCTAGCCAGGCTTTCAGCAGGTAGCTCAGATCGAGACAGCCACATCAAAGAGCTCTGAAATTAGGAGAGGCAGCTCACCCTCCATGTCCCCTACAATGTGCTTTGGAAGCTGTTCCTATCTTGCATTGTAGTAAGACAATGGCCTTAAATTATTTTAATAAACATTTAAGGTAAATATTTATTTATTTCTATAACAAATGGTTTCTTTATTTTTCTGTCCATCAGGTTGCTTGGAGACCAGTATTTTCAGGAATAGGAATGCAGTTTATTCTTGGGCTCCTTATTCTGAGGACCAAAGTGGGGTTTGATGTGTTTAACTGGTTAGGCATTCAGATCCAGGTAAGCTACTGGGCAAAAAAATTAACTTTTATACCATTTTCTGTCTTGAGACTCTTACATAACAGCCAGGCAGTTCAAGGGTCCGTTTGCCCCTGGATGTTTTCTCCTCTTGAAAAAAAGTGGTTCTCAGAAAGGTAATTGACTACCTGAATTCAATCTTCTCATTTCTTTTTTTGTCCAGTTAATACAAGACCATGTGGGACAGGCTGATGAGTAATGACCAGAGTGACCTTGTTCCTTAATGGCTTTACCATCCTTGGGCTCAAATTATAACTTGTACCCTCCAAACACGAAACTGTTATTGTCCAAGGGCGCTCTTAGACCTGGCCCAACCCCAAAGCACCCTTGCAACAAACCTGATATGCTGAAAAACCTTGGGATTTAGCAAGGTGGAACAACCATTGTCTTCAGAGTAGCCACAGTCCTGGCCCCAGGAGTATTTCATAGTTATCATGACATATAAGAAGCTGAATTCAACTACAGGTGATTAATAGAATCATAGAATGGTTTGGGTTGGAAGGGACCTTAAAGATCGTCTAGTTCCAACCCCCCTGCAATGGGCTGGGACACCTTCCACTAGACCAGGTTGCTCAAACCCTCGTCCAGCCTGGCCTTGAACACTTCCAGGGATGGGGCATCCACAGCTTCTCTGGGCAACCTGTTCCAGTGCCTCACCACCCTCTTGGTGAACTTCTTCCTGATATCTAATCTAAACCTCCCCACTTTCTATTTAAACCCGTTACCCCTTGTCCTGTCACTACAGGCCCTTGTAAGAAGTCCCCTCCCATCTTCCTTGTAGCCCCTTCCGGTACTGGAAGGCTGCAAGGGAGCTCTCCCCGGAGCCTTCTCTTCTCCAGGCTGAACAAGCCCAACTCTCTCAGCCTGTCCCCATAGCAGAGGTGCTCCAGCCCTCTGAGCATCTTCGTGGCCTCCTCTGGACTCACTCCAACAGGTTAGCCTGGAGAAGAGGAGACTTGGGAGAACCTTACTGGCCCCTACAGCTACCTGAAAGGAAGTTGAGGAGAGGTGGGTGTTCATCACTTATCCCAAGAAATGAGTGATAAGACAAGCAGAAACAGCCTCCAAAAGGGTCATCAAGCATTGGAACGGGCTGCCCAGTGAGGTGGTTGAGTCACTATCCCTAGAGGTACTTAAAAGATGTAGATATGGGGTTTAGGGACATGGTTTAGTGGTGGACTTGGCAATGTTAGGTTAGTGGTTGGACTCAATGATCTTAAAAGATCCATTCCAACTTAAATGATTCCATGATTCTCTTCTATAGGTGGTAAAATCCACAGCTGGAGCAGGCAAACCAGCTCTTTTTGAGCAGCCAGATATCTCCAGAAGGGGGACAGGATCCATCCACAGGTGCCTCTGTAGCCAGTCTGCGGGCACAAAGTTTTTAAAAACTTTAGCCCAGTACTGGAAATTAATAAATAAGAGAGAGCCAATGTGTAGATCAGAGTGTACCCACTGAAGGATATTCAGACTTTTCACTCCAGGGATACTATTCAGACAGCTGTTCTTCACAGTAGATAATTAAGCCCATTTGAAACAAGACAGTGCAGAATGTACTGTCTCTGCGCGGGAGCGAAGGTCTGACGTCTGTCGGGCTGCTGCTCTGTGAGCAGTGGGAGTCATCTGGGTTTTGTCACCAGGTTCTCTCTCCCCTCTCCGACTGAAGTGGGTCTGGTGCCCCCGTTTGTTAGCTCCCTTTGCCTTACAGTCATGCACCACAGTGTCAGAACTTGAAAAATAATACTGTTTTAGTATGGCTTTTGGCCATTGTCTGGTTGGGTACAGCCAGAAAATATGCCCTGTGCCCTTGCTGTTTATCTAGATACCCCAAAGCAGCCCGCACTCAGCAGAGCAGGGCAGAGCAGAGACACTCCCTTCAGCCAGACACAGCCAGTGAATCCTGGACCCATGCAGAGCAGAGCACAAGCTTCCTGAACCTCACTAGACCTCTGCAAGACAACTGTCAAGATTTGCTTATGTATTTGGGCAGAGATCCAGAGCTTATAGGTAACTTT